CATTTTACTAGTTAACCACTTTTTGATATCTTTCAAAAGAAGTGAGATATATAGGCTCAAAGTGGACGATCCGGGTGTCGTTCTATTAGAGGTTTTACGGTAACCGAATCCCGGCATTTTTCAACATTTTTAGGCACATTTTTAGCAATTTTCAGTCAATTTTCCCCGAAAGTTCCTTAAATTTGGCTAAAAATCCCAAAATTCGTAACTGAACGTTTTTAGCCAAAAATTAAAAAAAAAATCGCTTTTTTGGAGGTGTTAAGCCCCATTTTTAGACATTTTCCGGCTAAAAATGTCCAATTTTCAGCCAATTTCTTTTATTTTCGATGAAAAATCTCACTTATTGTTCTCCACTGGCGCATCACCCTGTCCCTCTTCATCCAGACCATTGCTCATTCGTTCTCTCGTTTCCACGACACTATCGCTGGATATTGACTTGTTCGATGTGTGCGATATTAGAACTGCAAGAGATTTCAAATTTTTCAGGCTTGAAATGAGCTAAAAATGAGTTTAAAATGGACTTAAAAAAGGCTTTAAATAGGCTGAAAATAGGCGTTAATAGGCTAAAAATGTGCTTAAAATAGGCTCAAAATAGGCCAAAAAGAGCCTAAAATTGGCATAAAATCAGCTTGAAATTGGTTATAATAACCTTAATTAGGCCAAAATAGGCCGAATGGAGCATTTTTGTGGAAGTTTTAGGCTAATTTAAATCATTTTTCCTGATTTTTAGCTACAAATTTTCAATTTCCGTACCAAAAAGCAAGAAGATCATGACAAGAGCCGCGCATGCTCCACGAGCGGCCATCGTCGGGAACCAGTGATGACTACGGACACGTCGGGGACTCAGCATGCGGATGTTTGCTGCCACGTGGATTGAGTAGGTTGAAGCATGCAGGGATATAAGGATAGAGAAGGAGACAGACAGATAGGGACCCTGGAATTTGAAAAAAAATTTTATAGCGAAAAATTAGAAAATTTGGGTGGAAAAATGTGCGAGAATGGGTAAAAAATCGGTATTTTTATGCGAAATCAGAGAAAAGAGCGATTTTTTCGCTTAAAATCAACTTTTTTAGCAAAAAATCCAAAAAAATTTATTTATTTTTATTTTTCGGCAAATCGAGCCGAGCCCTGTCTCCGCGAATCATGTTCTTTTAAAATCTACAGTAACTATTTTAAAGGAACACGAAGCCTGCGGCGGGTCTCGACACGAATTACCGGGAAACACGAAAATTCAAATTTAAAAGCATTTTTCGCCAGAAAAAAGGTGAAAAATACGGAAATTTATGATTTTTAGCAAACATGTGGTCAAATTCATGAGTGAGACAGACAAAGAGAGAGCATCGAAACAAAGGGAAAATCAGAGTGTAAACAAACATTCGGGGAAGAAATTTTAAAATTTTTATGAAAATGTTTTATTTGAAGAAAAAAAAATTTAAAAAAATAAATTGATTTCCGGTGCCAAAACCATCCGAAACGTGCACAGATTTCAGCTGAAATAATATTAAACAAATAGGGAGAAAAAAACCAAAAAATGACGATTCTCGGGGTATAAAAAAGGGATTATGACAAGACCGAATACACAGGAAATGGTATAGTTTTAGTCTTTGCATCGAAAAAGCGATTGCCATCGTCATTACTTCGCGAAGGTTCTTTTTGTGTGTAACTACGAGAATGGCCTTGGCTAGAAACAAGTTTCGCATCCCTCGTTTTTCGCCTCGGTACTTCTGACATCACAAGTTTCACCTATTTTGTCTATTTGAAGTTTAACTTTGTGCGCATTTGAAAAAAAAAAACCATGAAAAGGCTGGAAAATGAGAAGAATGAGCAAAAATTCGCTGAAAATATAGAAGAATGCAAGCGCGCTCTATGGATTTTCTCTGCGTCCCGTCGCGTTATTGCAGGTTTGAGCAATCACTCGCGCCGCGTTTGAATTCAGAATCTTGCAAAATTTGCACTGAAATGGAGGTTTTTTACAGAAAAATGGATTAAAAAAAGAAGAAAAACTACGAAATGGAGATTTGTAACTTTTATCACAGATAAGCAAGATAATCGAGTAGGGGGAAAGCGGTTCTTGATCGAAGTGGCTTGTAACTTTCTCGTTGACAAATCGATTAATAAACTTGATTTTTGTTGCTTTTTTTCTCAGGATTCTCCTTTTCAGCCGTCCAATTTCAAATTAAGGTTTTACAGGATTTTTATTTAAAAAAAAACAAAAAAAATCGAAAATTAATATCACAATTTTCTACAAATATCCGTCCATACATGTCTGACATGTTCAATTCCATGAGGTGATAAATGGTGTCCCTGGGTCCAATAAGAGATTCCTTTCTCATCAAAATATCGATATGTATTAGTAGATTCGTTGAAAAATTCTGGTTTATAATCCACTAAAACGCATTTTTCTGGAATTTCCAGATTACAATCCTTGATCAGTTGAGCATGTCTTTTACGCGCCATTTCGAAGTTGTCCGGCTTTATCATTAGTTTCTGAAAATTTCCATTTTTGCTAAAATACTTTTTTAAGTGCGCCGAAGGCGCACCAGCTAGCTGTTTGAAGCGCCAGAGGCTTACATCAATTTTCTCGGGTGCTGTATGATTTTTGAGCAATGGAACAATGTCAAAAATTTTCCGATGATGACGTGGCAAAGCGTCCAGAATGTATAGTTTGTATTTTATGTTTTTGATGAAGTTGAGCATTTGGGTTTTCATAATTTTGTAAATGGGGTCATCCTGGATGTTTGATGCATTGCTAGGGTCAGCAATCGAGAAGAATCTGAATTTTTCATGTATGGTTTTTGACCTTAATTATGTCGGTTCCTTTAAGAGATATCAAAATTGTATTAACTAATAAATTGTTTTTCACATTATCACCAATATTTTATCAGTTGACTACTTTTTGATATATTTTATAGGAACCGAGATATTTGAGCTCAAAGTGCAAGTAACCGAAATGTTCTACACCTCCATCTACTGGCATTTCGAGCTCAATCATCTCGGTTTCTATGAGAGATATCAAGGTTGTGTTAATTAATAAGTTGTTTATCATAAAATCAGTGATATTTTATCAGTTGGCCACTTTTTCATATCTTTCAGAGGAACCGAGATAAAGTGGTTCAAATTAAAAGGCCGTTATATCAGAGTGTTCATGGTACTTTCGTCAGGGTACTGTAACTGCCTGAATCAAAATTACCTAGTCAATAAAAATGCATAATCCGGTTGTTCCTGTCTTATCCTCTCCTCGAAATATGTGAAATTCCCTTTACACTTTTCGGTTAAATCCTGCGAATCTGAGAATTTGGTTGGGTATAATGGCTCGCAGCCTGAAAAATGGCTACATGGAAATCGCTATAATTTTTTGAAATCCCTACCTTTTGCAGATCCTTGCAACAAGACTTTTGCTTTTTCCCCACATTCCTGATAGATCATTGTGGCGTGATTAGCAGCCCAACTGTTTCCAAATATCATAATTTTGTATTTTCCGTTTCCCGGGAGGCCCTGTAGATTAAGTTACAATTTTGAGACAATTTATCTCGGCTCCTATAAAAGATAACAAAAAGTGGTCAACTGATAAAATGTTTATCATAATATCACAAATATTTTATCAGTTAAAACTTTTTAATATCTTTGACAAGAACCGATATAAATTGGCTCAAAGTTGACGGTCAGGATGCAGCTGAATTAGGGTTTTAAGGAAAACTGGGTCAAATCAAATTCTCAGAAATTTCAAAAATTTGGAAAAACAAGTTACCTTGTGTTTACACCAACCCATCTGAGATTTTGTCTCATATTCACACGTCGGGACCCTCAAAAGTTTACCATCATGAGCACTCCAATCAATATTCAGTCGAGCTGCGTCGTCTGGAATATTTTTTGAACTAATTTTTCTCGTTTCCAGTGATAGATAGAAAAAAGTTGTCAACTGATGTAATGTTTATCATTATATCAGTAATATTTTATTAGTTGACAACATTTTGATATCTCTCATAGGAACCGAGATGAAATTAACGTCACTGTTGGTTTACTGTAACTGTCGACCATGTTTAGCCACTTTTGTTTTTTTGTGTTTCAATGAAAATGTAAAATTGCAGTTATCCCAAAAATTTGTTAGTGATGCCGCTCTAGGAAATACATTTATATTTTCACTTTGAGCTCAATTATCTTGGTTCCTATGAGGGCGATCAAAAACATGTAAACTGATAAAATGTTACTGAAATTATGATAAACACTTTATTAGTTGACCACACTTTATTAGTTGATATCTCTCACAGGAACTGAGATAATGGAGATCAAAGTACAGCTTTAGCCGTTACAATTATTTGCAGTTCGAGCTGATATGACAAAAAAGTTGTCAATTGACCGTTTTTTGATATCTCTTACCGGAACCAAGATAATTAACAAGCTCAAAAATTACCAAGTGTCATATTCTCTGTAACACTATCCAATCTTCCAAAACTTCTTCGTTCACTTCCATCCAGAATATCCATGATTTCATCTTTGTTGATAACTACTGCATTCAAAAAGAAAAGTATAACAATCATAATTCCAATATGTGAATTCGACAGTTTCAAATACCACTTTTCAAATGTCTCAAACAAAAAAACGGCCAAGATTAAAGATGCTAGAAGGGCACCAAACAGTTCTGAAATTTTTTTTTTCTTAATAAAAAAGATGGTTTTTTTTTCAGAGATTACTGTAACTATCCCCGTCGTAGGTCAACTTCCAGTACGCATAAATTGGCCAATGAATGAGATAAAGAGAATAGGAGATATCTCCGATGTAGGTTAGAAATCGATTGGATAAAATGGCATTTTGACAGAAATTAGCATTAGGAGGCCAGTTGAAATTGTGATGAATGGTCTGGAAATATTTTTACTGTTTCTGGGAAAATAATAAATTTAAAGGATTCAAAAGTTTTTTGATTAGTCGACGATTGGTGATAAAATATCAAAAAAAAAATTCGTATCAAGTTACTGATGAGAAAAATTTATATAACAACTAGAAATAATATTCACAGTTTCATGAAAATTTGAAAACTTCTAGAATGGGAAAAATGGTTTCATTTTTTTTTTCTAATGGTTCCATTTTTTAAATATGAGCCAATCTATCTGATTTCCTGTGAGAAATATCAAAAAGTGGTCAATTCGTAAAATATTTTTGATGATATGATAAACATTTTAATAGTTGACTACTTTTTGCTATCTTCCACAGGAACCGAGATAAATTAACTCAACGTTGAATCCAAAAGTTAGAAAAATTTTAAAGAAATTTTAATTACTGTTTCAAATGTCAGTCATAGTTTCTCAAAAAATTATTCACTATTCGCAAGCATACTGATGCAAAGAATATAATGACTGTTTCAAGAAGGAATTGAAAAATTCAAGGCTTCCAATTTTTTATTGTGTTCGCGGAAGTGAACCGATATATTTTCTGGAATATTTCAATAATGGGGTTTCGAGATTTCCAAAAGCTAATGTTAGTTTTTCTTGGGTGTAAATTTTTTTTGTGTTTCAAAAAATCTATCCTTGACAACATTGGGAATTTAGACATTGGACCTTGGATACATTTGTCTTGTTTTTAAATGATGTGACTAATCTCTGGAAATTCGGAGTTGTTGAAACAAAATACTGTAAACACTCTAATAAAACGAATCGTCAAATTTGAGCCCATGTACCCCATTTTCTGGGAGAGATATCAAAAACTGGTTAACTAATAAAATGTTGATGATATCATGATAAACATTTTATTAGTTGACAACTTTTTGATATCTTTCAAAAAAAGTGAGATATGTAGGATCAAATTGAACGGGCCGGGTGGCGTTCTATTAGAGTGTTTGCGGTAATTATAGTAAGGTTTAAAGACATAAAATAGTTTTTACACATTTTTCAAGCATTTTTAAAATTATTTTTCCTCAAAGTTGGACTTTCGAAATTGCAATTTAAAATGTCAAATTTTCAATTCTTTTCTGTTTCAACTAAATTTGAGTAAACAATAAATATACCACTGATAATTTTCGAATTCAAAAAAAAACTTTTTAGGAAAATTACCATTTCAAACAGTTTTTTTTAAATGTCACTCTTTTTGAAATGAGTTCGGGATATGCATCATTATACTCTCTTTACTACTCTTTTCTACTAAATTTTCTCGGTAGAATCATATTTTACGGTAATTGTAGTTAACGGAGGGTGGTTAGGAGAGTGGTCTGGAAATATATTTACCGTTTCGGGGGAAAATTATGACTTTAAAGATTCAAAAGTTTTTTGATTGGTGATATTTAACACAAAACACCGCACACTGTACACCGACATTTGAAAATGCATACTGCAACTCTAAAAAACTCCGAAAAATCTCTTGTCTTCTTCTTTAAAGAAATCAAATCATGAAAAATAATACTTACAGTTTCAGGAAAATCAGAAAACTTTTAGAATGGGAAATGTATGTAGTGCTTCTTTTTTTTTGCCGGGCCTAGGCGGGCCCTGCCATAATTTCTTTCAGAATCAATACTTTCGAACCAACTAAATTAGATATGATAGAGCTCCACGAGTACTTCAAAAAGGTATTATTTAAAATACTGTATCTTATCTATGAACAAAGTTACAGATCATAAAGTGGCTTTTCTCGCAGGGCCCGGAAGCCCGGGGCGGGCCTGCTTTTTTTTGTTCTTTTTGCTCTGTAACTCTGTTCATAGACAAGATACAGTATTCCAAATAATACCGTTTTGTAGTACTCGTGGAGCTCTATCATATCTGATTGAGTTGGTTCGAAAACATTGATTCTGAAAGAAGTTATGGCAGGGCTCGCGAAAGCCCGGCAAAGGCCCGAACAACAATTATGGTTTCAATAAAGTTGGATCAACTTGAACATAGCAATTATGGTAATCTGCTGTTCATTAAGCGATGATAACAGTAACTTTCAACTTTGAGCCAATTTATCTCGGTTCCTTCCAAAGATATTGAAAAGTTGTCAACTGATAAAATATTTTTGATAATATGATAAACATTTTAATAGTTGACTACTTTTTGCTATCTTCCACAGGAACCGAGATAAATTAACTCAAAGTTTAATCGAAAAGTTAGAAAACTTTTCAGAAATTTTTTTTACTGTTTCAAATGTCGGTCATAATTTCTCAAAAATTGATTCATTATTAACAATTAGTCCAATGCAAAGAAGGAAAAAAGATAAAAACAATCGATTCCTGCTAAAAAGTGCTGACTTTCCGCCAAATCTTAAAATTCTAGGGCATCATCAGAAATGTTTTAAAGGTGGGGAGACAGGAGATTTTTCGTAGTTTTTTTGTAGCTAGGGTATGCATTCTATCGTGACGGTGTACAACGCCTAATGTCACTCTGCGTACAGCTGTCGTCCTCGCCTTTATGTATGCAATCGGGCGGGCGCTTTCTCTTTGCCCGCGTGGCTCAGTCGGTTGCGGCGCCGCACCCTCAATCATCGTCCTCACAAGTTCAACTCCTCGAGGGGCATCTTTGAACGGAATTTCGAGAACATTATTTTTTTCATGTCCCCCCCGCCTTTAATTATTGAAAAAAATGTGGAATTTTTTTTCAATTTTCAAATGTATTTTTTTGTAAATTTCAAAAATTGGGGCTTCTAACTCTAAAATTACCGTTTCAATTGAAAGTTTTGGAAATTCGAGTCTTCAGTTTTCTTGATGTTTCGGCCCCTCTTGAAATATTTATTTTCTCAAAATTTCAATGGGTTGGGGGATTTGAGGATTTTAAGACACATTATCTGAGAGAATTGAGATCGGGTCAACAAAACTTTTTAAAAAAGCTGAAGTTCGTTTTTTTTTTGGGAGTTTCAATATTTTTTCACTGTTTCAAACCAACTATTCGAGACATGATTGTAAACCCAAACATTGTTCAATTGGATAAGTAGATTTACACAAAAATGAGTTTTTTGCAACAAAATAGTTTAAAAAAGCATGAATGTAGATTTTTCAGAGATACTGTGATTTTTAGAGCGTTTTCAAACACATCGTTTTCAATTTCGTTTATAATTCTTTGTTACATTTTTTCTCTGTTTCAATTGAATGGGAGAAAACAATAAATGCCTCCCCTTCGTTGAAATAAATAAATAATTATATTATTATATTATAATGCCTAAACCACCGATTTCACTATAATTAGCAAATGTAAATTTTTCAAATAACCAAATGACTACTACAGAGTTTTTTAGAATTGTATCAAAATTTCAAAATTAGAAATAAAAAAATAGTTAATTTCGGAAAAAAAGAGCTTTAAAAAAATTTTCCTAAACAAAATTTTTACTGTTTCAAATTAATATTTTCCTCTAGTGCAATGCGCAGGAAACTATCATGCTAGAAAACTTTTTGAAAGTTTAAAACGAGCTAATAATACCATTTCATATTTTATTCATAAAATTTCAAATTCCCGCCAAACCCTAGCCTCCAGGCCATCAACAGAAGCGTTTTCCAAATGAACACTTATTGGAAATTTTCTACTGTTTCAAATCAGTAGTGTGTAGTTCCTCAAAAGTATATTATTGATAATGCGCAGACAACCTACAAGGCTAAAAAAAGTCTTCGGAAGTCCGAAAACCACCCACTACTAGTAAAAAATTTTTATTCTAACGATTTTTTTAATTTGAAAAAAAAGCCGGAAACACATTCTGTTCAACTTTCAAATGCATTTTTTGTGCATTTCAAAAAAAGGACTTCTAACTTCAAAATTACTGTTTCAAACAAAAATGTTATGAATTCAAGTATTCAATTTTTTATTGTATTTCCAGAAGTTAACCAATAGATTTTCTGGGAATTCCTATACTGGGGTTTTCAAGATTTCCAAAAACTAATGTTAGTTTTTCTTGGGTATAAATTTTTTTTGGTTTCAAAAAAGCTATATTTGACAACATTGGGAATTTAGACGTTTTACCTATAATACGTTTGTCTTCTTTTTAAATGAAGTAACTAATCTGGAAATTCGGACTTATTGAAACAAAGTAATTACAGTAGGTTTTCAAGACATAAAATGGTTTTTACTCATTTTTCAACCTTTTTTCAAATTATTTTTTCTAAAAGTTTGAATTTCGAAATTGCAATTGAAAATGACGAACTTTCAATTTTTTCTGTTTCAACTAGATTCAAGAAAACAATAAATAAATGATTGCATCACTGACTTCCACTATACCCAATCAAAATAAACATGAAAAAATGGGATTACTGTAACTCCTAGTCCCTTTTCAAGCAATTTTGAACTTCTGCTATTTTAATGTTCCTAGAGTTTGAATTGTCCAATTTGCAGCTAACTTTAAAGAATAATTTTTTTTATTTATTCAACTGAAATTGAAATAAAAATGATGATTGATCATTTTGCTGACAATTCAAAATCAGATATAATTTAAAATTGTTGCCTTAATAACAGTTTTACTGTTTCAAAATATAGATAGTTCCATTGCTTTTCTGCTAGCATTACATTTTCCGGCAAATTGTGCTCATTTAAAGGTTACTGTAGTGAAAGAAGGGGGATAAGAAGTTTTTCTTGAAAAGGTTACTGTTTCAAAATTAATTTGAAATATTGGTAACTCTATTTTTTGACTTCCGCCTTGGCATCTTTAAATTTTAACGGTTACTGTAGTTAATTAACTTTTTAAAATATTACCTCACAAAGTTCGCTGGTAACTCTATTGGAGTTCCGGTGATAAAAACCAGCATTGCCAATATAAAATATGAAATTGGTTTTACAAAAACTGAAAATTCCGATTCTTGAGCTTTTTCGTCTTCTAATAGAAGCCCTTCTTTTTCTTCTGAGAGCATCTGATAACCAGTGATTTTCAAATTAGAAGTTGATAAAAGATAGACAACCATTCCTGAATTTTTGTTTTTTTTTAAATCCATAATTCCGTTTTTCAAAAACCTATCAAAAACTGCCAAATTCTCGCAAAAACACTGTTAAATGCTTCAGTTTCCGGGGAGGTAAAGAAGAAAAAATAGGAAAAAATACCTGGAATTTTGAGAAATTTGAAAAAAAAATCTGAAAATGTATTACCTATAATACTATAGTAGCTATATTGCAACTTTTCTGAAATTTTGGTTGCTAGAAGAAAAATGAAAGGAACCAAAAAATAAAATTGAATTTCAACGGAGAGGGACCAGGTATGGGTGAAAACGTCGACGGCCATGGAGAGCTGAAAATCAAAAATTCGAACTTCAAAACTTTTTTTTTTTTGAATTACCGCTTGAAAATAATCTTCATCATCAGTTTTTGGGCGGTTTGAAGCGAAAAGAAGAGCTTGAATCGCGGATCCTTGATTAGTTTCAATTGCGGTATCCGGGAAAAATAGGAAGAGAGATATCATGGAGATTAGAATGATAAGGAGATAAAGAGGGAGGATTCTTTTGAACCTTCGGGAGTAAAAAATGGTGGCGAGCTGACAAGAAGATTGGTTTTCAGCACGTTTCAGAAGCATACACATTAGGAAGCCGGAGAGGACGAAGAATCTGGAATTTGAAAGGTTTTAAAGGTGATATGGCCAAGAAAATATAAGTGTTAATTAATCACTGATCGATTAATTTGAAATTAGAAACATATTTTTAAAATAGACATTTTTTAATTTTAAAAGTTTTGAAAGTGTCACTACTGAGTCACACAGTCGCAAACTCATCTGATATATTTTAATCATCTTCGTTTTTTTAATAAAAAGTTTCTTTTCAAAAATTAATTTCAACTATTTTTTAAAATTCGCATGAAAACAGATATTTCGAAATAGATTTAGGAGATCCTATTTTCTTACATTAATGTACAGGGTGGCTGAAAAGTATTGAGACACTTGTTTTTTGTCGTATTTTCAAAAATGGAGTTTCAACAAAAGAACCAGATTTATTTTTTCAACAAATGATAGTAATAGAAAAGATATCAGAGGAGATATTCGAAGTTTGAGCCTTCGGCCTTGATGCACGCCTTCAAACGAGCTGGAACAGAAGCGACGGTGCGCCGGAGGTAGTCATCGTCAAGATCATCCCATGCTTTGAGCAAAGCGGTCTTCAGTGAATCCACATTTGGGTGCGATCGAGCCATCACCTTTTCCTCCAAATATCCCCAAACGGAAAAGTCGAGTGGATTCAGATCGGGCGAGGAAGCGGGCCACATGTCCTTGCCCCAGTAGCCAGGGAAATGAGCGTCGAGAACAGCTTTCGTGGATTTCGAGCCATGGGACGGGGCCCAATCTTGTTGAAGAATGAAGGGTTGCTGGCCAAAGTGGCTAGTGACCCACGGACGTAAAACATCCATCAACACCAACTTTTGGTACACATCCGAGTTGATTTTCACATTTCTATCAATGAAAACCAATGGGACTTTACCTTCCGACGTCAATCCAGCCCACACCATCACTGACTTTGGAAAAAGTCTCTTGTTGGCCAGACGACGTTTTGGGGACTTTGCTTCGTCCTTTGACAACAATTGCCGAGCATTCTGTCGGTTCGGAAGCGGCTCAACCGTAAAAATTTTCTCATCAGTCCAAATGACTTCAGAGAGGCGGCGCACCTTGAGTGCGTCGAGCAACTTTTTCGCTTTTTCGAGCCGATTCTTCTTGGACTGTTCTGTGAGGTATTGGCCACGAAGGAGCCGATAACTGTTCAGACCCAAGTCCTTTTTCACAATGGATTGAACCGATTGTCTTGAGATTCCGAGCGATGAAGCCATTTGGTTCATGCTGACCGCATCATTTCGTGTGATTCTCTTCTTGATGATGCCACGAGTCCGGTGAGTGTTGACAGTACGAGGTCTTCCGCTTTTCTTAAGCTCCAACACAAGTCCTCGATCTTTCAATTGTTGCACAACTCGATAGACAGTTGCTCTCGGAAGAAGAAGTCTTCGAGCGATGTCACCGGTGGAGATGCCGTCGTTGAACAGCTTGGCAATGGTTTGGCGATGAGGAGAAGCTCGCATAACTTCGTGAAGAGATAAAGTGATGGGAAATGGCTCTAATGTCGGCTTATATACGCTCCCTATTTTCGAAATAATACGAAACTTTTCGAAAATACGACTTGGCACGGTGCCAAGATCCATCATAACAAGTGTCTCAATACTTTTCAGCCACCCTGTATAATACGAAAATAGAAATCAAAAACAAAAGAAAAATTACTGTTTCAATTTTTCAAAAATTTTGAAACAGAAATTTTTTGAATCGTTTCTTTATTTCTGCAAATTCAACAATAAAAATCTCCTGTCCCTCCACCTTTAAATTTTACAAATTCTCTTTATCTGAACAGTTTTCCATTCATAAGATCCCAAGAATTCGTTGAAATTGGCTGGTTTTCGGGACGGACAAAAATAGTAATTTTCTGGATTTTCTGAATTTTTCCAGAACTTTCGAATTAAAAAAATTACTGTTTCACTTTTTCCAAAATTTCAAAACTTTTCAAAAAGTTCTGCTAACTAAATTGTCGTCAGGTAACAACTTTTCACAAATAATTTTCGAAAATTTGCTGCATTTTCAGAAAATGTGATTTCAAACGAAAATGAAAATTTTACTGTTTCAATTTTGTTTCAAACATTTCAAGCTTAATTATCTCGTTTCCTATTGAATATATTAAAAATTTGTCAATTTGTCAATTTGATGATAAAATGTGTGTACAGGGTGCGGCAAAAGTTCTGTAACAAAAAGAAGACGTCATAACTTCTCGGAAAAAGTCTAATCCGGGTCAAATTTTGACAGGACTTTATCAAAGAGATTTGTGATAAAATCAGATCATAATTGTTTGTGTCTGGTAGCTCAGTTACTGATGGTGGAGCTCAACCTCTTCGGTTAGCGTCTATGGCGGCACGAGGGTAGTCTGCCGGCAAATTGTCCCATTCCGCACAACTGCTATTTCAGAGAGCAACCAAAATTCTATGAAAACAAACATGAACATGTGCTTTCAAAGTTCCCGGCACGGAAATCCCCATTGGATTGTAATCTGACTAGAGACAGGCCATCCTTTTTGGGGGACCAGGTTGGATCGATTGATTTTGGCACTTTCTGCTAAACACGATTTTCTGTACGAGCAGATTCTACATCTTTTTGGGTACACTAATTTGGGAAGCTTTATGGCACGATGACTTAAACAGCATTATTTCCACCATAAACAGTAATTCTGGTACACATTCTAGCCCGTCTAGATTTGCTAAAAACAGTGAAAATCTCAAATGAGGTGTACAGAAAGTAATGCCATCTTTGTAAAAATTGAGATATGGATATGAAACTTTGCAAATCTACTAATGAAGAGATGGGGAATAATATAAACAAAAAATCAAAATATGAAAAGTGAGTCAGCGCGCGGTAGCTCGAGTCAAACTTCTTGTAACAGTACTTTTGCCGCACCCTGTATTAATATCACTAACATTGTATCAATTGATAAATTTTTAAATATCTCTTATAGGAGCTGCGATAATTGAGCTCAATGTGAAAGTAGAGGGTATGTCATTCTATTTGGCATTTTACTACTGTATTCAAAAAAGAGAACATCTGGACAAACTGATACACATAGATAAACTCACTGGTCAACTCCAAGATATCCATTTGGACAGTATTCAGGATAAAAATGAAATGCAATAACAACTAATATAGCCAATCCTCGAATTCCTTGTAAATCCAGACGCTTTGACGGTTTTGATGCATTTTTCATTATTTTTATTAGAATTTTTGGAGATTTAGAGATCAATTTTCACTGGACAAAACCTCGGAATCACATTTTTCCATTCTTATACCTCTTGTTTTTCTGATTCCCGACAGGTTCTCAGTCCACTTTTCTGGAGCCAAAAAAACGAGGGACACGAAAAATTCAAGGAGAGAAAATCAGATAAGGAAAAGGAATTTGGATTCACTGAATTAAGAATTGGCCAATTTTTTTCGGTAAAAATCAGATAGTTGAAATTGGAAGAAGGAGAAAGAACTATAAAAGTACTTTAGTTTAGGAAATTTCGAGTTTTTTTGAAAATTTCAAGTTTTGCGATTGTTTAACAATAAACAGCGATTGTTTAACAATAAATCGGAAATTAAGAGAAATTTTGAAACAACAATTTTTAAATTTTCAAATTTTCTATAATTTGGGGAACTTGAAGAATTCAAGTTTTATGATTCGAAAGAGAAAGTATGACAAAAAATTTTTGCAAAGGAGCACAGTTGCAGCTATTGGACTTTCATTTTACACAATTTTCAACTAATGAAGTAATTGAGAAAACTATTATTGAAGATAAACTTCAGAAGTTTTTGAAACAGATTTTTCAAACTGAAAATAATTCCTTGAAACTTGTAAATACTTGAAACTTGTAAGTATTAGGTTGATGCAAAAGTTTCTTTCGATGTTGATCGCTTACCTTTGAGAATTAACATCTGGTCAGTGGGATGGTTTTTCTTGGCGAATGTTTTTTCGTTGCATAGAGTATCTCATGTACTTGTTATATACATTTTGCCTCATCCCTACTACTGGTCGTTCGCGAGCAGAACGCTCTCTTTCAGCCTATACCGTCTCTACTTTCGAAATGTCATTTTATTTTTATTCCTTCCTGGTTTGAAAAACTCTGATATTCATCAGAAAGTGAAAGAAATAGATAAAGGGATCTCTTGTTGTTTCTATCATCAAAGACTTGGATCAATCGATTTGAAGCCAAAAATTTAGAATCGGAAGACGGAGATCGACACGAATGTTGTATTTGGCCCTATTGAAGAATAGCGTGGAAGCCGATCCGTTTCAAACCATTTGTGAAATGTCAAAGGCGTTGTCAGTTAGTCAACCAAGTATTGTGACCGGATTGAAGTCTCTTGACAACTTCAAAAACTGTGTCGATTCGTACCCAATGTTTTGAAGAACAATGGTAAGGATTGCCGTGTTGGTATGACCATGTTTCTCCTATCATTCCTCTTCAGTTGGATGAATGATCTAACTACCGTAGATGATAATTGGGTAAACTACTCTATGAATGTACGGGAGGGTCAGTTGATTGACAGAGCTAGCTCTGGACGTCCTGGAACCTAATTTTCCTGTGAAAATGGGGATGCTAAGTGTTTGGTGGTAATTCAAAGAAGTGGAGACTGGGAACTCTGAGATGAATGTACCTATATAACTGCCACAATAAATAGTTCGAAATAACAGAAATTGGATCTGGCAGTATAATCGAAACAAGAAGAAAATGCCAAGGGTTCTTCCAGCGCGACAATTCGAGATCCCCCTGATTAGATAAATCATCCAAACATTCTTGTCGTTTGGCTGGACTATTCTTTGGTACCCGCTGTATTTTCCAGACCTTGACCTTCTGGAAAAATAATCGGTTGGAGCTCTGAAACGTCATCTTGATAGAAAAGTCCTTCAAGTGAAAAGATGGTACCAAAAAGGAGTTGACCCTTTTTTTCAATCACAGCCCTCCTCGTTCTAGGCCGATAAAACTAAAAAATTACCGGATTGTTGGCAGACAACTATTGATTCCTATGTCTACCCCCCTCCGCTTCGAGAAAAATTTGATCAAAAATCTTACCGAAATCGAAAGAAACTTTTGCATCAACCTAATATTTCAAATCTTCCTTTTAACTAATTTTATATTTTCAATTGTAGAAATAAAAATATAATTTTTAAAAAGAAGAATTACTTAAAAGTTGCAAAATTGAATTTAGGTGTTAGTTTTCAAGTATTTAAATTCCCCGTTTTTGATATCCAATCTGAAAATTCATATTTTTCGATTTCAGAGAAACGAATTTCACCTTTTTTGTAATTTTTCATATAATTACTGCTTCAAAACTCTCTCAAAACGAAAATCAAATTGAATCCAGTACTCCCCATATTCCAATATCACAAATTTCGCGGATTCTCAAAATTCAGAAGGTCCCAATCTAAAAGTCATCTGAATTTAAAAAAGCCTAATTTTTAAGTAAATCTGAAGATTTTTTAAATCGCTTTCCTTTTTCAGATCCAAAATCACTCCTGTATTTCTGTATTTCATTTCTGTATTTCTCTTTTAATTTTCTATACAATTTTCAATATTTCGAAATCTTAATCCAATGAAATTGACGTCATTATCTAATTTTCCCATCAATTCACTCTTGTTTCTCTGTTTTTTTCTTGTCTGCATCTAATTTTTTTGCTCGAAAAATGTAGGATACCTGCCCTCTTATTTCGGGGATGTCGGGATTGAAAAATCTGATTATGCGTGTTGGATTCTCAGAAATCGGTCGAGATTTATCTCGATAGAAACATGGGAAAAAGTTCAAAATTACTATTTCAGACAGATATCAAACCGTACCCAGCCCTAAAAATATTACTTGACTGCAATGAGTATGTTTTGCTAATATACATAATAGCAGTAGAAGCAAAATAGAATCGGAACCTTTCTAATTCAAAACACCTACCGTATTCTCAATAATTGAAGCCCATGGGCTTCTATTTTTCAACCTCCTTTGCAAAAAAATCACCAAAAGCTGAAATTACCAGAAAATTTCTATCAATGAAAGAACGTATAAAAGTTTGACAGTTAAAATAAATTTTGAAACAGAAAAATTTTTATGATAAGTTTAATATGAAACTTCTACTTGTTTTTTATCTCACTTTTCAAAGAAATGTATGTGATATTTTCAGTTGAAAAAGTGTTTTTAACTTTATTCTGAAATAATTTTCTTTTTTCTAAAACAAATCGTTAACGAATCCAACACTCCCCATGTTCCTAAATCACAATATTCAAAAGGTCCCAATTCAAAATTTAACTGAATTTCTGAAGATTTTTTTCGCTTCCCTATTTACAGATCCAAAGTCAAACACTTCTGTATTTAAATCACAACTTTCTATTCAATTTTCTATTCTTGAAAATCTCATTCCAATGAAATTTGCGTCATTATCTAATTTTCACATCAATCTTTTTTTGCTCAAAAAGTGTATCTATTTCGGAGATTGTGGGATTTAAAAATCTGATAATGGGTTTGGAGTCTCGAAAATCAGTCAAGATTCATCTGAAAGGAGACATTGAAATGAATTAAAAATTACTGTATCAGACAGATAATTATAATGTACCCCCTTTCTGAAAATATTGATGACATAGCAATTTCCTGCTAAAATAATCTTAAAAAAGACAAAAAATACCCAGAATCTTTTTGATTCAAAGAAACCCAAAAGGGAGAGCAGGAATTTTTTACTGTAATCAAAATTTGAAAGTTTAAAACAAAAAAACTCAATTTGTTTCTGTTTCAACGTTTTGACTTCAAAAATCAGCCTGTCTAAAGGCAGGAATATCTTCAATTCACAAGAAATTGTTTGCATTTTTAGAACATTGCTTGATTTGTTAAAAGCTAACAGAAACAGGTTTCAGTGGACTATTTTTTTTTTTGAAAAAGGGACCAGGGGACCTTTCCCACGTCATGGCCTAGATTTCAATTTTGTGGCCATGACCTAAATTTCCATTTTTAGGACATGACCAAGCTTTCCGAACTCCAGGACACGAGGCCCCAGGCCCCAGGCCCCAGGCCCCAAGACTTCTCGGGAGCCCCGAGAAGGGAGAACTGATTTTTTCCTTCACTTCTCTCTTCCTTTATAGTGCTCTTATCTCCTTGTGGTCATCTTGGGTCGTGGGTTTCTAAGCCAATTCACGTAGTTCTAGAATTTAATTTTTTCTAAACTTTTAAATAACTGCTGAATTTTCACTTTTGAAATCTGTTAAAGTCCTTAAATAGATGATTCTTCACACCTAATTATCTCGCTTCCTGTTCTAAATACCGAAAAATGTTTAACTGATTAAATGTTTCTGAGACCTAGACAAACATTCCCATTTTTGAAATTTTTGAATATCGTTTACAGGAATCGAGATACATTTGGTCAAAGTTGCAAAATTATGGATTTTATTTGTTGTTGATTTACGGTCCTTCGGGGCTGAACCTCCTGGGCTCCGTTTTCAGTACTTTTAATTTTTCAAAGAAAGATTTGTCACTACTTTCAGAAATTTAAAGGTGGGGAGACATGAAGAAAAAATAACGTTCTCGAAATTCCGTTTTAATATGTCCCTCGAGGAGTTGAACTTGTGGGGGCGAAGATTGAGGGTGCGGCCGTCGCTACAGACTGAGCCACGCGGGCGAAACTGCGACAGACGCGCGGATACATACATAAGGGCGAGGACGACCGATGTACGCAGAGTGACATTAAGCGTTGTACACCGTCACGGTAGAATGCATACCCTAACTCCAAAAAAACTCCGAAAAATCTCCTGTCCCCCCACCTTTAAAAGAACTAACTTCTGACACTTTTGAAACAGATATTTTTGGAACTAAAAGTACTTCCTTGAAGTATTTCAAACCTCATTCCCTGTTTTCCATACGCCATATGCAAGTTCGCATTTTTTGATTTTCAGAAAAGCGAGTTTCCATCAGTGTTCCACTATTTTCATATAATTGCTGTTTCAAACATTTTTTTTAAAAATATTCAACAACGAATCCAATATTACTGCGATATTAGCAGATCCTAAATCCAAATCTTCTGTATGCCGGTCGAATTTTCTATCTAAATTTCAATATTTTTTAAAATCGGTCGAGATTTATCTCAAAAAAAAAAGAAAAATGAATTTAAAGTTACTGTTTCAGATAAATATCATACCGTACCAGTTCTGCAAATTTTATATACTGTTGGAATAATTTACAAAAAAATAACGCAATATCTGATTATAAAAGTTATGCTTACTGTTGTTTTAACATTGATGTATCGCTTTTTTGAAAAGTTCTCAATTCATTATGTATATTTTAATACAATTTTGTAGAAAAAATGAGCAGTCCAAAACCTAGTTTTGAAATTCGATTGAAAAAGCAAGGATTTTCCATTTAATTTTTCATATTTTTTTCTGTTTCAAACTATTTACTTCAAAAATCTATTCGATTTTAATACAGTAAAGCAATCGTTGAGAGATCTTCAGTTACTTAATCTGTTAAAAGAAAAAGAAACAAATTTTCAATCAATTTTGAATTTTGAAAATAAATTTTTTAAAACATTTTCAAAACAACTCTTGAATTCTCAAAAATCAGTCGAGATATATCTCAAAAGAAAGAAAAGAATAAATTAAAAATTACCGTTTCAGTCAGATATCATACAGCATCTCTCAAAATATTGTCCCTCTCCACGGATTTGTCGTTTTCTAATTGCCAGGAAACTCAGAATTTCAAATTTTTAAGTTTCCCAGTCTTCGAATTCCCTTCTTTTCGAAATTATGAGTGTTTGAGTTTCCGAATTTTCGAAATATCGAAAATTCGAGACTTCTGTGTAGAAATACGGAAGTTGAGAAGCTGAGAAAATCCAATTTGAGAGATATGTTTTGAAACTTCAGAAGTTCAAAAAATTTCATATTTCAAAACTTTAGTTCTGATTTTCAAATTTTGAGCTATTACTTCCATATTTTCGGATCCAAATTCAAAAATCGCATTATTTCTAGTATTATGTTTAATCCAATTTTCAATATTTCGCAAATCTTATTTCAATGAAACTGACGACATTATTACAGGTTTAACAGCAAAAAATAAATCAGTGAGAGGAAATAGTCGAAAACTCTCATTCAAAGAAGTCAAAAACAAGATTCAAGAGCTAAAAATAATTAATTTTTTGCAAAATATGGTGGGAAACTTCTGTGTGTTGTTTATCTCACTTCTTAAAGAAATTTATTTGATATCTTCAGTAGTAGAAAAACAAATAATTTATGTTTCAGAAATTATTTAAAAGTTCGAAATTTCAATTCAGTTAATGTTCATGGTGTACACATATGTTATTAACTGTGAATCGTTTAAACTTTATCACTAATAATTTTAGTTGACTTTTAAAATCTTAAATACCGAGATTTTTCAAGCATTTACTTTCCCGTTTCCCATATCAAATCTGAAAATCTATATATTTTAACTTTTAGAAACTCAAACTATTTGCATACATATAATTACTGTTTCGAAAACCTTCCTAAACAACAACCATCAAGGAATCTAACATTTTCGCGGTATTTCTGCAGATCCAAAATCAAAAACCTCTACATTTCTAGTCCTATTTTCTCTCCAATTTTTGAAATCCTTTTCCAATGAAATTGACGTCATTATCTAATTTTCTCATCAATTCACTCTTGTTTCTCTACTTTTTTCTTGTCTGCATCTGATTGCTAAAAAACTGTAGGAGACATGACTTCCTATTGCTGGGGTTTACGAGATCAAAAATCTGATTCTCAATCTTGAACGCTCGGGCAAGATTTATCTTGAAAATCGGGCAAGATTTATCTTGAAAATCGGGCAAGATTTATCTTGAAAGAGATAAATCTTATGAGGATACATTTAAAAATTACTGTTTCAGGCAGATATCATACTATAGCAGCTCTTGTAATATTGTTCTTCCGCGGACATTTATAGCTGAAAGTAATAGAACTAGAAGCAAAATATAAAAAAAACATCTGAAAGTCAAAATCTATGGCTAGAATTTTAAATTCGTTTCAACATTGATGATGTATCGATTGTGCAAGTGTAACATTGTTCTGAAAAGTTTTCAAATGTTTAGTTTTTTTTTGTAATTTTCACAAATGTTTTAATGTTGAACTTTGAACAAACTGAAATTTTTTGATTCAGTTATTCAATTTTTTTCACTGTTTCAAAATCTTGGTTTTAAAAATCAGAAAATTAAAGTAGAATTTTCACTTGAGTCTTCTTCGAAATCAAAATTTTAATCGAATTTTTGAAATTTTGGAAAAAAAATCTTTGGAAAATCACTCTTCGAAAAAGTATGAGAATAATCAATTGTCTTCATTTTTTGACTTGTCTCAAATGTAGTAACCCGCGCGTTCTAATAGCTTCTTTGCAAACTCTCTTCAGTTTATCTGAAACCGAAAATATTTGTATTTCTAATAATTTTTTTTGAAACCCTATTTCAATGAAATTGACGTCATTATCTAGGTTTTTCTATTTCGGAGATTTCAAGATAAAAAATCTGATTGTGTGGTTTGGGTTCTCAAAAATCGGCCGAGATTTATCTTAAAAGAAAGATGAAAATTACTGTTTCAGACAAATCTCATACCGTATCAGTATTGGAAATATTCATTGCATAGGAACTCACTAAAAATAATAGATCTAAAAAAAGAATCAGAAACTCTCTAATTTAAAGAAACCAGAAACAACATTCGAGAACAGGAATTGTTTATTTTGGGCGATGCTAAATTGAAAAATGTGAAAAATTCAATTTCTTGAAATCAAAAATTACTGTTCCAGACAAACTTCATACCATAACTAGTTTGGAAAATTTGTTTTCTCGACAAAAAATGTTCACATTCTTGTCAATTGTGATAATTCAAGTAGTCTGGACATCCGGACAAACCGCCAAACGGATATGCTCCTGTTTCACAAGTCATTCTCGCGGAGCAACACGCAATTTCAAGGCTCTCTCTCTCTCTCTCTCACTATTTTCCTGCTCCCCCTCTGCGTCTCTTCGCTCCCTCTATGCACTCTAAAATCTCCATGACAACCAAATGAATATGTTCTCCAGGACCCCCCTTCCTCCCTTCGTTTTTCTTATTATGCCTCCTGGGATTGCTCAGCGCAACGCCGTACACTATCTCTCCCTGCTATTGGTTATTATCACTTGGCTTTGTGTTTTTCAGGTTAGTTTTTTTTGTTGGGAGTTTATAAAACTGAAAAATTGTTACAGAACCATTTTTTGAGCATTTTAAAATTTTTAGGAGTTATTTTTAAAGGAAATTTTGAAAATTCTGAAACTTTTAGAACGATTTTTTTTTGCAGGCAGTCATCTACACGGCACCGAAATTTCTAAATTTGAATAACAAATGATTTGAAAAAAAAAGGAAACAATGCCGCATATCGAAATTTTTCGGGAGGTAAGAAATACGTTTTTTGCGAATTTTCGAATTATAAAATTTGAATTATTATAGCTGTACCGTTGAACACCGCATTGATTTGTTTTCAAATTCATTTTTTAAAATTTAAATTGAAACAGTAAATTTTAAAATTTCAAAAAGAAATTTTTTATGATTTTACAGTTTGAGCTGAAAATTTATGAAAAAGTTGAAAAAGAAAATTTTTTGAAATTTTGAAATATCGCATACATTTCAATGTATCGTCTAATAATGAGAAAAAAAATTTTAAAAGAGGCGAGACAGCAAAAATTTCGGGGGACAGGTCGGGGGGACGAAATCGCGCCGCGCTTATGTAGACCATCGGCCGTCAGGCGCCTTCGCGCCCCCGTAGCTCAGCCGGTAGCGGCGCTGTACCCCCGAGCTGCCTGTCATGAGTTCAACCCCTCATGGGGGTTCTCTATGCAAAAAATCAGGAAAACTTTTTTTGGTGTCTGGCCTCCTTTAATTAAAAAAAACAATTTTTGAAACAGCAATTTTTTTTGAGTTTGAAGTTTTGAGAATTTATGGGTGAGTGAGATCCTGAATTTCTGAACTTTTGAACTTTTGAAATTTTAGAACTTTGATGAATGCTGATTTAGCTGAAACTTTATGTTTAAAAATGTTTTTTTTTCAATTTTTGGAATTCATTTTTAAGATTATGCTTCGTCTAACAATAGTTAATTTTTTTGAACCCTTTAAATAATTTTTGAAACAGTTAAAAATATTTTTCAGCCTGTCTACCGTTCCTATCGCTCTGCTGAATGCAGTTGGGCTGCATTTTATATAAAACTGGTCAACATTTTTCGCTATTTTCTACCGATTCTTATGATTTTTTTAACTGATGTGAGTTTTGCAAGCGCATTTTTAATGGGTTACGGTAGTCCATTTTCAGGGTCTCTGGAAAAAGACAAACACATTTCGAGAGGTTCCAAGTGTTTCGGTGACTGGCGATTTTATAGTTTACGGTTACGGTAGGTTTTGAATTTGAAAATTTTAGAACTTCTGAGTTTTACAATTTCAGAATTCTCGAATCAAAGAATATCTGAATTTCTGAATTTTCGATTTTTCTAATGTTTGAATTAATTTTCAGGTCACCAAAAATCGATAATCTCCTCTTCATATCCAGTTTTAAATGCGGCAGCTTCTGCTGAGCAATTCTCCACTTCTCAAATTTTACACCATTTCGAAGAAGTGAATGATAATGAAAATGTAAGAAAATATACTCCCCAAGTTTAAGCTCAATTATCTCGATTTCTATAAGAGATATCAAAAATGTGTCAACTGATAAAATGTTTGTGATATTATGATAAACATTTTATCGGTTGACACTTTTTCGATATTTTTAAAAGTAACCGAGAGAAACTGGCTCAAAGTTATGGAACTTGAATCTTCGTAAAAATTTGATTCCAGAATATCCCATCATTCCAAAAATCCAATCAAAACTTGCATATCGATTTTCAAATGACGACTCAAAATGTGTCAATTAACACGCTTATCTATGCATTTTCATTAAAAATGAAATTGGATTATCACTCAATTGTTGATGTGAGTTTTTTCAAATTTTAATTTTTTTTTAAATCTACCAGTCGGTTTACGCCCCAGTCGGAGGCTCAACCTCCTGGCTTCCGCTTACTGTACCTTACAATTTAATTTCTAATTTAAAAATTTTCGAGTTTCCGAATTCGCCAAAATTTGCGAAAGTTTTGCATACTATCAATTTTCTTTGAGGAATATTTGATTTCCCAAATTTTCAAAATTTCCAAACTACTGAAAAAAGATTTTTTATGTTCTGAAATCCGGAGTATGTTAACTCCCGGCTTCCTGAAGTTTTGGATAACTAAAAGTTAGGTTTACTAAGCTTTATGCCCCTCCGGGTTGAGCCTCCTGGCTCCCGCTTACAGTACCCGTTGTTTTATAGACAAGTTTTGTCATTTTTCCAGGGACTATTTTTTCATGGTCTATTAGGAAATTTCGAAATTCGATATTTTGGTTATTTTGTATTCCTAGAATTCGGAAAGTCAGAAGTAAGAAAATCCGGAAATTGAAAAAGTAAGACACTCGCAAGTTGAGAGATTAGTAAATTTTAAAAAATCAGATGTAGGAAAACATTAATTTTGAAATCTAGAAAAGTGTTTCAGTCTTTATGTCTCAAATACCCAAATTTTGGTATATCAGATTTTAAGGAATCGGACAATTCCGATTTTTGCATACTTACTAAAGGGGCTGGCCTGAAACGGCCCTGTTCGCAAAATTTATAGAATTTCGAAAAAGAATCGAAGAATAGAATCGAGAATTTGAGAACCTGAAAAATTAGAAATTCAGAAATTCAACTTTTCGAAACACAGTCTTGTCGAAAAGTTTTTGGAACTTCGGGAAATCGGAAATGTAGATTTCAGAATTCGAAAACTCTAAATTTCGAAAATTTAGACATTCAGAAAATTGAAAACCAGAAATGTGGGAAAATCTGAAACTTTGAAATTTTTTGGCATATCCGGTGAATCAGATCTCAGAAATTTATATATTCCGAAATTTGAAAGATATAAAAATAAATTCGGAAATTCTAAAAAATTTTCTGAATTCTGAAAAATCGAATGATCAGAAAGGGCGCTGTCATTTTCCCTCCCATTTTGTTTCTTTCTTTTTTCCCTTTTATTTTCTTTCCTTTCCACTGTTTCAGAATTTTTTCTTCCTTTCAAATCTTTAAAACCCATACTAAAAGAATATTTTCACAAAATCCTTTCTCTCAAATATAGCGTGGATAAGAAAAACATTTAGGCGGTTAGACAGAAATGACGTGAATATTTCTTCAATATTTTTCTAAACATTTGCTTTTTGCGCTGTAGAAATTGAAGAACGTCTCTAGAAGACGTCAGACACAAAATTTCGCAAGATTAAATATTCGGGCATCATCTAGCTGCTATTTCTGGATATCTGTGAAAATTTAGGAAATTTTGGTTCATTCTGGACTTCGTTAGGGAAGGTGATACGGGAACAAACGGACACACTCACACACAGAATTTGGTGATTGTTAATAGTAAAGATCGTAAAACCTGTAATTTCGAGCTCTATTATCTTGGTTCCTATAAAAGATATCAAAAATCTGTCAATTGATAAAATTTTTATCATGATATCACTAACATTTTATTAATTGACCGAATCTTGATATCTGTCATGGGAAATGAGATAGTTAAGCTCAAAGTATACAGGATGCAAATAACAAAATTGGAAATGGCAATAGTACACTTTGAGCTCAATTATCTCGGTTCCTATCAGAGATATCAAAAAGTTGTCACCTGATAAAATATTTTTCAAGTTATAATGAACATTTTATCAGTTGATCACTTCTTGATATCTTTTATAGGAACAGAGATAATTGAGCTCAAACTTGGCAGTGTTTTACGGTACTTTTCAAAATGATCAATTTCTTCCAGGCCGAACTATTTCTAATCGACACAATTCATCTAGCATCTCCAACTTCAAAAGTCCAAACTACCGCCCGTCTTACTGTAGATCAATCGATTCCATTTAAGTCCAGAGAAAAATTCAAATTGATTGAAAAACGAAGACAAGATGTGCAACATTATCAGATACAATCAGTGATAAAGAGAATTGCAGAAGCACCGATTTCATGGAATATGGAAAGGTAAGGGCGCTCTATTGACTATTTGGCGGAAATTCAAAAAGTTTACTTTTTTCAGAAAATCCACACTCCTGCTGTCAGCCGGCTCTCCTCCATCCACACTATCTCTCACCCTATTTCTCTCGATTCCAGAAATGGAATTCACATATAAAACTGGATTTTGGGAACTCCTGAAATGGTTCTGGATACAGTATTTGGCTGCATATTTCATAATTGACCATATTTTTGCATCGCTCACTTCCTATTTATTCAGAAATCGCGTTTTCTATGTGAATGATGTTGTCAGGTGATAAATAAAGTTGTTCTAGTTTTATTTATTGGTTTATTGATAGTGATGAGTAACCCGGTGAGTAAATCTCTCGTTTTTACTGTTTTTCTAATTTTCCGATGTATCTGGAAGAAAAATTGACAAAAACCTAGAAAACTTTTGAAAAAAACCGAAAAACAGTGAAAACGAACGAAAAAATTTCAAAAGTTTGAATTCGCGCGCTTTTACTCACCGGGCGGCCTAGAAAAAACCTCGTCCCTAAGGGCTTTCAGCGTATTTTTCGATGCGTTTCTCTCGATGAAGGAAATTTTTTTGAATTTTTTCTTTATTTTTAAGTCAACCTACATGCATTTCTGCACATTTTGATTTTTCACAATTTTAATAGCAATTTTTACGCAAAATTAGATAATCTCCGCCTTCTTCGAAAATTTGTTGAAAAATTCGAGATAACACCGGAAACAGATTATAAACAACAACAACAGAAAATGAAAGCAATGAAATGTTCTAGGTCCCCTTCAAAATGGCTAAAAAATGTCCTGACATGACCCATTGTGTGTTTTCTAGCAAATCCATTTTTTATTTAATCCAAAACACTCATTTTAAGCCAAAATAACTTTAAATAAATGTGAAAACTTATACTTCATAAAAGCTAGAATTATCAGAAAAACCAAGAAATTGAGCTCCGTAATCAGTTGGTCGCATACTAATTCCGAAGTTCGAAAACTTGGAAATTCTAAAAAATCTCAAATACTGAAATTCTGAAAATTGGAAATCTGGAAATTCAAAATTTCGGAAATTCGAAAACTCTGAAATGTTGGAATTCTCGAATTTCTAAATTTCTATATTCCTGAAATTCTGAGTTTCAAGTTTCGTGAGTTTCAGAATTCCTCAATTTTCAAAATTTCAAATTTCCGAAAATTCCAATTTCTGGATTTTTCAAAATTTCCAAATTCCAAAATTCTAAGACTTTATTACTTTTTGAATTCCAGTATTTTTAAATTTTCGAATTTTGTACATTTTTGGATTCTGAAATTTCTTAAAAACAGCCTTAAACTACAAATCATTCAGTTTCTAAATTCTTGAATTAATTTCTCGATTTCGAGGATTTTTGAATTCCTGCATTTCTGAGTTTTCCAAATTTGACTTTTTCAATGAAAATTAAAAATTAGTAAATAACACAACTCTTCATTATTTTTCTTCATCTTCCCTTAAATCACTTGACAAGTATTTAAACAGAAAAAGAAGGAATTTGAAAATCAAAGAATAATTTTGCACCATAAAAGAAACACAAAAAAAAGAAAAGAGAATTGAGCAAAAAATGAAGAGAATCGAAATACAGCCATTTAACTTTTTTCACATGATTCTGGGGCAAAAAAACTGGGAAATAAAAAAGCAAAAAAAAAAGATTTTTTGGATGAGGATCTGGGGAAAAGGGGGAGAAAATAGAGGGGAAAATGCCAAAAAAAAACGAGTACCAGTAGTTTTTAAACGAATTTTCCGAAAGAGGAGGCAATATGAAAAAGTGAGAAAGAGCAAAAAAAAGACCAGCTTTAAGATTTTTGACAGTAAAAAGGGAAATTTAACAGGATCTAAGCCACTCTTGGCATCCAAGACGCTCCAAACGCCGATTTCGTGTCTTTTTGAGTCTTCGCCACGGCATCTGCCTTCTCCTTCTGAGCACGAAGACGTGGATCCGAGACGACACCAGTCCCACTGGCACCCAGCAACGAGGAAAAAGCATCGAATTGTTTCGAAATCGCCTTTGCTCTTCTTGGATCGTTATTCGCAATTTTATCCGGATTCTCGACACTGGAATACGGAGAACCCTTCTGGACCCGTACGAGTCCCCAGATGACTTGAACGTGTTGTGGTATCACTGGAACACGATGATTGCTGTTTCCGAACATTGGTGGGGGAGAGGCTGGCGAGTCGTCTACGGGTTTTGGGCTCGATTTCACTTTTCCACTGTTCGCAAGCTTGTTGAGCATTTCCTGGAAAAATTAGTTTGTTTTTACTGATAAAAATTTGAATTTCCCGCTTTTTGAATCGAAATTTCCGAATTTCTGTGCATTTTGCAGTTGGCTGAAACACCAAATTCAACGACAAAATGCACAGAAATTTAGTTTATTCGAATTTCTGTCCATTTCGTCGTAGAATTTGATGTTTTTTTCGGTTGAAACGCCAAACTCAAGGACAAAATGCACATTAGTTTGAATTTTCCGTTTTTTGAGTCTAAATTTCAAGTTTCCGGGCATTCCGACTAGTTTGAAAGCGAAAATTGTATTTCTGTGCATATTGTCGTAGGATTTGATGTTTTTTCGGCTGAAACATCGAATTCGACGACAAAAAGTGGAAAATTGAATTTCCTGCTTTTTTTGAACACGCAATTCGAACTTTCGTGCATTTTGTCGTCAAATTTAATGTTTTTCGACTGGAACATCGAAATTTCCGACAAAATGCACATAAATTCGAATTTACCGCTTTTTGAGTCCACATTTTCGAATTCCGGGGCATCTCGGCTGAAACATCGAAGTTGACGACAAAATGCACAGAATTTTAAATTTTCTGATTTCGCAAACGCGAAAACTGAATTTTTGTGCATTTTGTCGTAGGATTTGATGTTTTTCAAAAAGCCCAAAATGTATTTAAAACTTAAACTAACATTTAAATCAAATGCTGGCGGCGATGCGGCTCTTCTCTCCGGCTGAGCAACCACTTGTGGCACCACTAATCCGGGTTGTTGAAGATGTGGCAGATCATCGAATGCATTCCACGATGCATCATCTGTGGCTGCTGCTGCTGCATCGGTGCCATATTGCTCAGTCTTGGTGGTTCGATGGTTCGTGGTGGTGGCAGTCCTTGTACTTGTTCTGGGCGGGGTACGACTGATGGAGCATTGAAGTATCCACCTTGACCTGGTGGGAGGTATCCTGGCTGTTGATGCGTTGGCATTGGGTTTCGTTGAATCGTTGGGACGACTACAGCGGGTGGTGGAAGTTGGGATGGATGGGCGGCCTGTGGGATGGCTGCATGGATGACTGGAGCGTGTGGTGGAGAAGCTCCGTTGGGACCTGGAAATGGGATTTTTTGAATTTGGCGCCAATTTTGAATTTGTAGCTACAGATTGGCCAAAAATGGCTCAAAATCGGCCGAAAGTTCTGGATTTTTTGCTCTAACATACCTCCTGGAAGCAACACACGTCGTCTCGGAGCCATAACCTGAGCTGCTGCTGCTGCAGCAGCGGCATTTGCAACAGGATTCTGTCTGTAGACCGTCGGTTGTGGCTGTTGTCGAAGCTCGTCGTCAGCCAAAAGTTTCTCTATCAATGGTCGAGTGTAGTCGGTTAAAGGGACATGCGAGTAACGGCAATTGTCATTGTGACACTGGTTTTTGTGGAATTGCTTGCAGGGGAACTCGCCGTGGAGCATCAGACATTGAAGACCCTTAAATTAGGCTTTTCGGTGAATTTTTTCAAATGGTTTTCTCAAAATACCTTTTTACAGAAGCTATTCGCATAGAAATTGCACAATTGTGGTCGTCTCAACGAGTCTTCTGCCTGATGCGAGTACGAACACTTGTCCCCATCTCTACAGTAACCCTCACGGAAGAATTTGCATATTTGATGTTCTGTCTGGAATCGAGGCTTCACTCCATTCCTGAATCCACCTCTGAATCCTCCGCGAGCTCCGAAGAACGGTCGTTTCACTCTTGCATCGTAGTCTTCGTCATGGGCTGGGGATAGACGTCGTCGACGAGTCACTCGGTAGTCTGTGTCGGCGAATGGCTCCTCTTCTGAGCTGGCTGCTGCTCCACTACGATAGTCTTTGTCACCGAAATATTCTGAAAAAGAGCGATTTTGGGGTTTTTGAATTTTCGAAAAATTCGAAAAAAAATTTTTAGCGATTTTTTGGAATTTTTTTCGTTTTTTTTCCGGATTTTTCACAACTTTAAAACCATAAATTTTCATCAAAAAAACCGTTTAATTCTCCTCAATTTACCCCTCAAAAACCGAATTTTCCGCCAAAAAGCCGCTTCCACTAAACAAGGCGCACCCCGTCATATGCGGAGTGTCGTTTGCGATTTTTTTCTCTTGAATTCTATACTTACCGTTGCCATCTGGAGCATCATTATGGGACCCAAATGGATCCGAATCTCGTTCTCTTTCCCTTTCTCGCTCCCGTTCACGCGGAGGACTATTCTGCTCAAATCGACGGACCCTTTCTGCTCGCGGAGTCTCTCTAGAAGGTTTCTCAGCGGCCGGAGCCACGTGAGCCGCCGCCATTGGAGGTGTTGGAGCTCTAGGAGGAGCTGCTCCATCATCGTCGTCGCATATTTCACCGTCTTCTGGAAGTTCGCCGTCCTCAAAGTCTTCTTTGGCTCCATTGTGGGATAAGATGTCCGTCATGGTGTCTAAAATAGCGAATTTAGATGATCTGGACCTAATTTTTAATGATAATTATAGGAAGAAATCGAAGAAAATAAAAAGAAAATTTTCAAGTTTTTAGGGATCAGAAAACATTAAATTTTTTTTTAAATCTATTTTTCTATAATTAGCCTTCTCTCAATTTGCTCATTCTTTCAGATATTCAAATTTCCCTCCTTTCAATTTTCCAAATATTCGTTCAATCACTCTTTTTTCGCTTTCTCCGGTTCTTTTTTCTTTTCAATTTCCGGTTGGGCGGAGCGAGTACGATGACCAACGTCGCCGATTGGTCGGCTTGGCCCCGCCCATTTTTGGAAAAATTCGAGCAGGGGTTTGGGAGGATTTTTGGTTTAAGAATTTGAAAAAATTGTACTGAAGGTGTCTGGAATGGTGGCTGGATTTGTCTTTAATTAATTAATAAAAGCGGGCGATTCGAAAAATGTTTGGGAGAAATGAATTTTGCTATACAAACCTTTACTTTTATGAATCTTTCTCAACTGAAAATCTGAATATTTTTAGGGGTTTTTTTTGGAATCTCAAATTTTCAAATCACAATTCCACTGGAAATTCCAGTACTTTCGTTCTCGTATTTCGGGACTTTTCCTGCCATTCCATTTTGTGATTCCTCGAGATTGTATTTTGATTTTTTGAAATGTTTTGTATTGAAAAAGGATCGATATGAAAAACCACAGAAAGATTGGTGGATGCAGCTATTCTCAAGTGACTACTATCGCAGCCCGTCATACACACAAACCGACCGCGAGGGAAAGAGGAGACGAGTCTTCGCAAATAACACTCAACTAATCGTGCGGCGAGGGAAGCGCGCGCCGTCTCCTCGTATTACACACTCTCACACAAATTTATTGATCCTGAGAAGACTCGAAAACATGTTTTCATCTGGGGAAAAATCTCAATCTTAACAACAAAAAATAAGCGGCAAATTTGGATCTTCTAGGTCTAGAAAACTCGAATTCCAACTGAACTATCGGGAAAGAAGCAACGCAGATTTTTAGATATTCATCTTCGAAACGACACCTTTTTCAGCATAAAGACACTTCCAACCACCAAACAGATGTTCAGGCTTTCCACAAGCAAATTTCGAAATTTCAATTTTACCTCCACAATTTTTCAGTGCTTTCTTTTTGGTTCAATCTCAACCTCTCTGCAAATTACTTTCTTGGGTTCTCTCTTTATAATCAATTTCTTCTGATTTGATCATTATATTCCCAACAACATCTTTACCTAAAACTTTGTGTTAGAAGGCACGTTTTGTGCACAAAAAGAAGACAAAAAATGAGTATAAATCCTCCAAAGTATCATTGAGGAAGGACTATGTATTTCGAAAATCACGAGTTCTGTGGCGAGAAGAGACGAGAGACCGCGCGTCATTCGGAACCGCGACGCGTCCGCAGCGCGCGCGAAGGAAACACGTCTCTTTTTTGTCTCGCAGCGAAAGAAGTACGGTGGCACTCGTTTCAACTGTGCGACTTTCTTTTTTGTGTGAAAATTCCAACTAATCGCTTCCGGAAAATTAGAAAATATCACTGAAAATCTCTGAAAATCGAAGAAAATTGAAGAAAATTACAGAAAAAGCGGAAAAACGGGTCCATGAGTTTTCATGACGATTCGCATATTTTATCACAGCTGGGAAGTGAGTCTACCTGAAAATGAAAAATTAAAAAATTGAAATTTTTAGTCTTGGATTCGCACGAGCGCAGTCCCAAGCGAGACACTGCGCCAACAGACAAAAAATTCGTGGATGTAAAGCTGACGGCGTCGGTTTCAGATGACGATGAGGACGATGATGAGGATTTGGTCTTTGACAGAGTAAAAATTCCTTTAAAATCCAAAAAATAATAAATTTTTGCTTCCAGAACAACCTGTTATCCTCCAACAAACGACAGAATGCTTCACTAATTCGAGGGAGAGCTGATAATCAAACAATTCGATTTCTGATTCTTTTGATCCTTTTTCTAATTGCTGGACTTGTAAGCACTGCGACCAGCCTATCTATATGTTCCGTTCGACACGAGGTGATAGGATGTCTTTGGACTTGTATTGGAATGTTTTGTGGCGCTTGGGCTAGTGAGTTTTTCGAAAAAATTTAAAATTTCAGCCAAATTCAAATTTCCAGCCAAGCTCACCGCTTCCCGGTCAAATCTGATGCTGTTCCTACTCGCAACCCTTCTCACTCTCCTTGTCAATCTGTTTTTCGCTTTTAGCTTCTCATTTCTGTTCGCTCTCCGCGGATTTTTCGTCGGAGCCACCTTGTATGGTGGAGCTCTCGTTTGGTTCGCTTTCTGGAGGAAACAACCAAGGAAATTGCTTATTTTGCTGTTGGTATTTTCCGCTGGAGGTCTGCTAGCAATGTCTGTGAAAACTAGCGTGTTTTCCGGTGAGATTTGGTTAAAATTCGAGAAAATCGAGAAAAAAAACCGAATTTTTTATTTTTAGTTTTTTTCACTGATTTTTTCCAGGAACATTTTGAAAAACCTTTAAAAAAGCTCAAAAAAAGCATTTAAAATCGCGAAACATTGAAATTTGGCATTGAAAACTACCCGTAACGTCATTTTTCGGCTTTTACATCCTTTTAGAACTACAGTAATCCGAAATTTTTGAAAATTTGGCCATAAATTTATTGTTTCCAGATTCTGAGAGTAATTTTCACAAATACCCTAATTTGATAAGATTTTCATATTGATTTCGGGTTACTGTAGCTTCTGGAAAAGTGCGCAAACACCGAATTGTCGAAAATCGAGATTTCGCGATTTTATACTAATGGACCATGGAAAAACTCGAATTTTGTGAATAAAGCTGTCACTGTATTTTTGGAACTACAGTAGTCCGAAAAATTCAAAAATTGAGATGCAAATAAATCGAGTAATTTTTGTTTTTATGTCAATTTTCAAGCCAATTTCGGGTTGCTGTAGCTTGGAGAAAGTACGTAAACACTGCATTTTTGAAAATTGAGATTTCGCGATTTTGGACTAATTTGTGAATGGAAAATTTCGAATTTAGCGATGAAAACTATTAGAAATGACATTTTTGCGTACTTTTGGAACTACAGTAACCTCAAAAATTCGAAAAAAATTCCGATTTTGTTCCGGAAAATCTCGAAAAAACCTAATAAAAAGCTGGAAACAGCACTTAACATCATGAAACCATCGAATTTAGCAATGAAAACTATTCGGAATAACATTTCTCAGTATTTGCGGACTTTTGGAACTACAGGGAAAAATTTAAAGAAAAAATCCAAAATTGATTTTTGCTGATTGCTTAAGACTCAAAAAACACATTTTCAGAAGCCACCAGCTCCCTCGCCGATATGAGCATAGTCACCAGATCCATTCAAAATACAGTATCCCGTTTGAAAAGAGCCGCTGCTGTCCCAGAGGAAACTGATAAAACGCTGCTTCCCTTCGTGGCTGTTGTCGATAATTCTACACAGAAAATTATCAATGATACTGCAGATTCTACAGTGAAAAAGTGGGGTCTTTGGTCTGAAAATCGCTGGAAAGGCTTAAAATTAACCGAAAAAATTCAAACTTTAGCTTATTTTTCCCATATTCTGCCTGAAAATCGCTGTTTTTTGTCTTAAAAAGCTAAAGCATCATTCGAAAAATCCAAATTCCAGACCCGAAGTGGCGACTGGAACACTGGAAAAATCCAAGACCAAAACCGAGATGAACGCTGAAAAAGAGAAAGAAGTGGAGGAGAAAAAACTGCCGGTGGTTGATGGAAATACGAATTCCACGGATTCAGAAGCCACGACGACGTCTTCTAGTACTTCTACGACTACTACAACCTCTACAACGACGACGACGACCACAGAAGCTCCAACAACGACTTCTACAACTACAACGACCACGACGACGACTACAGAAGCGCCAACGACGACTACAAAAGTGATTACTGTAGATGTGAAAACGAGGGATAGCAAAGAAGAAGCGAGACGGAGGAAGCAAGAGGATCCGTGAGTTTTTTTGGTTCGCAAACAGGTAGAAGTTCTAAAAAAATTATGTTGAAAAATCAACAAAAATCGAAAATGTGCCGAATTTCTTGACCAAAAAATTCCCAATTCGAAAAAAAAATCTGAAAATTTTTGGAAATTTTAAGAAAATGCGGGAAAAGTTGCTTAAAAATTCTGAAAGTCTACTGAAAATTCCTTCATTTTCGGTCTGAAAACTTCCTTTTTTTTTCCTATTTTTCTTTTTTTTTGATCCAAAACTCCAAAAAATTGACTTTTTTCTTGCAAAAAGTTCTATTTGATCAGATGGATTTTCGAAAAAAAAAAATAAATTGAAAATCAATTTTGGAGGGAATTTTTACTTCAAAATGTGTAGAAAAATATGTAAATTCATATAAATCTGAGAAATTTTTGAAAAATTGAGAAATACCGGAAAATTGCTACAAAAGTGACAAAAAAGTCAGATTTTTCGCAATTTTTTCTTCGACTTTTTGCGAAATTTCTAGACCTTTTTAGGGTTTTCAGCTATTTTCGAAGATTCCTTTTCGATTTTCTCCGAATTTTCGGTCTGAAATTTGACAGGATAATGTTCCCGAAAATTACTGTAGAAAACTTATTTCGCGCTTGTAGTTTTTTCTGGAAATGGAAATGTTTTCTACAGTAATCTACAGTAACTTTCCCGAACACCAGCCTGTCAACATTCAGACAAAAGAAACCGGAAAAATCGAGAAAGTTTTTTTGAAAATAGTTAAAAACCCTAAAAAGGTCAAGAAATTTTTCGAACATCGAAGCAAAATCAATATTTTTCTCAAAAACGTTTTGGCGGGAATTCGAAAAATATTTGAGAAGCTTCTAGAAGTTTCCAGAAAAATGGACGAGATTTTTGTCAAATTATCATAGCTACATTAACCCGAACTCCATTTTCTGATTTCAAAAATTCACAAAGTCAAAATTAAAAATGAGCCACAGTAACCCAAACCAATTTCAACATTTCAACAAGAAACGAATCCAAACAGCTACAGTAACCCTATCTCTTTTCAGATCTCCCCAATCCATCGTATCCCCTCCATACCCTGCAAACTGCCCCTCCGACTCCCTCTTCTTGACTGGAAACGTGGCATCTGCTGAAGAAACCATCTCCTCATTCGTCAAAACTTTTGTATCTTTTGGTGTCATAATCTATTTTATCTCCTATGCCCTCTGCTGTCTTCCATGTGGATTGAAGCCAGATTCGAAAGTCAAAAAGCTAGAATCCGATTCGATTGTTGGTCTGGGAATGCGTCTGAGGATTCTGATAGCCGCTGTACAGACAATTGTTGGATTTTTGCATCGTAAGAGATTTGTTTTCAAGGCAAAATTATCATTTTCTGAACTTTTCAGCGAAAAATACCGTGATAAAAACCAAAAAAATTGAGCTCAATTATCTCGGCTCCTGTCAAAGATATCGAAAATCTGTCAACTGATATAATGTAGCTGATAATATGATAAATAATTTATCAGTTGACAAAATATTGATATCTCTCGTAGGAGCTGAAATAATTGAGCTCAAAATAAGGACCATAAAACCTGTAATAAAAAGGCCGTCACACTGCCAAGTTTGAGCTCAATTATCTCGGCTTCTGCATGATTATCATAATATCAGTTACATTTTATCAGTTGACAAATTTTTAATAGCTTTAATTGGAATCGAGATAATTGAGATCAAAATACAGTAATCTTAAATTTTCGTTTTTCTTTCCAGAAATCAAACATTTCCACTCGTCGAATCAACCCAATGCCAGTTCTGATCACATTCTAGTCTGTGTATTTGTGGTGATCACACTGTTGGTGATGGCTTTTGGGTGAGTTTTTGATCTTCAAAATATTAAAAACCCAATGAAAATGTACCGAAAAATATGTAAATTCCCATAGAAACAAAGAAAAAATTTAAAAAAAAACTATTTTTTTAAAAACAATTTTGCTCTACTTTCGCTAATCTTCTGCTGAAAAAAAAACTTGGTGGCCTAGAAATCTGATTTTTGGACTTTTAGGCCATTCTAGACAACTCATGACGGCTTAGAATCCTACAAAATGGTCTAGAAATTTGAAATTTACAGAAATTTTTTTCTCAAATCCCTTTAAAGCATACATGTGGATGGCCGGGCCGCGGGCCAGCCCGGCCCGTTCGGCCCGCCTAGGACAACTTTTCGAAATTTTTATTTTTCGAATGTGCCAAAATATTTATAATGGCACAAATATTAATCCAAATGCATACAACCATCCGAATTAATTGAATTTTTAGCAAAAAAATCAAACTTCATTAAGCCAAGGATAAAACTTTTTTTTCTAATTACGACTTCAAAACAGTTTTTATCGACAGTATCGGCCTCTAGTGTGGATTTTTATTCACTAAGAAGAAAAACCATCTTGAAAAATGATGATTCGCTTTAAAACTTCAAAATTTTCAAAAAGCGGGCCGGCCATGTGTAATTTTTTCCGGCCCGCTTTTAGAAAAATCTTAGCCCGGCCATGGCCCGGCCCGGCCCGGCCCGTGGGCCGGTCATCTTTTCCACAAGTATGCTTTAAAGGAGGCCAGACACGAAAGTCTGCGGAGTTTTCTTGGAGCGAGATCATGTATTCTGACGGAAAATCGTGCGATTGCGACCCAATGCGCGCTACTTGACGAGCATTTATTTTTTTTAGAATAGACTAAATTTCTTCACTGTTTGGCAATTATTCCCGATTTTTTCTCGTTACTCGGTCATTCTATGATGTCGCCGCATGAAAACGGAAAAAAACGAATACGCACAGATGGGAGTCGAACCCGCGATGCGCGACTGATAGACAAGCGTGCTCACCTCTACACCACACAGCGCTTTCCGCCTAATGCCGGTAAAACGGTTATGAAACGATGAGTGGGCGCCGCTTGGAAGAACGGTCGCGTTCTCTCGCTTTTACAGTAACAGGAAGTCATGATTTGATGTCCATCGTTATTTTCTGACTGTACTGTGTCATATATCAAAAAACTGGAATTTTGAAAATTTCATGTCTGACCTCCTTTAAAATCCTGAAAAAACCTCAAAAATTCAAATTTTAATTTTTTCCAGAGGACACAAAGTTGGCACACTTGAAGCTGTGATTGTCTCCTACCTGCTTACCGTGTTCGGAGAAGTCGTTCTTCTATTTTCAGCGAATTCTCAATTTGGGAATATTGTATCAAATTGTGGATTGACTGCCATTTGGGTTTCGCTCTTTTTCGTTGTGGAGGTACGGTTTTTAAGGCTGAGCAATCATTCGTTTTTTGAGAAATTTTGAGCTTTGTTACTCTAAAAAAACGGATTTGGCGATGAAAACTGTCCTAAATGTTATTTTAGAGGTGTTTGCGGACTTTTGGAACTACAGTAGTCTCATCAATTCAAAAAAAAATTGAACTACAAATTTATTGTTCCCAAAAAACACGAATCTGATAAGAACAATGTCAATTTTCAAGCCACTTTTGGATTACTGTAGCTTGGAAAAGTACACAAACACCGAATTTCGAGGTTTAGCGCTTATTTCGCGATTTTAGACTAATTTCACTATGACAAAAACGAATTTCGCGATGGCAACTACCAAAAATGATCTTTTTAGGTGTTTGTGGACTTTTTGGAACTACAGTAACCAAAAGAGCTAGAAATTAGTAGTTTTCAGGATTTTTTACTAATTTTGGATTTCCAGATCTTCCTCCAAGTGCGTGCCACCGTCCAACTTGCCTACTTCCTAATTGCTTGGATCGTCGGCCGCGCCATAGCCTGTCTTTTTGCACTGGAACCAGTTTTCGAAGGCCTAGAACATTCATTCTGTGTCCTTTTCACGATTTCCATTGGAATTCTACTGTTCTATATCGTCAGAATGCTCCAAAAATCGAAACGGCTCAAAGAGATTCTGGATAATTCGAGTGCTCCGATTGTTGCTCATTCGACAGGAGATGGAGAGTATATCTCGTTAACTGCTCAAGACGTTTTGGATGATGATGATTTGATTGATGATGATGAGGTTTGAGAAGTTTTGAATTTTTTTGAAAATATTGAATTCCAGATGGATCGAAGCTCAATGGATCTGGACTACGAGCTGGAGCAACTGGGACTTGAGCCAGTTGGAGCATCATCGCGGTCATAATCTCATTTAGTTCCATTCATAGCCTTTTTTCTGGGTTTTTAAAAAAATCTTTCGCTAGTCTACATTTCGGTGCCTTTCAATGCTTTCTGGTTTTTCCCCCATTTCCAGTTGTTCCTTCTTTCCCTTGCTTTTCAATAATTCTAAAAAAATCTCGGTGATCTCATTTTTCTTCTCTCATGTGATATAGTGTGTGTGTGTGTATAATTTCATGTGCTGCTCCTTGTTTCCCCTCTTTCTCTGGTCCCTTAGTGATACTTTTTTACAATATGTGCAAAGTTTCTTTTTATTTCTATTGGAAAGAACAAAGTTTTATCGATTTGAAATTTTGTTTTAAATCGAGCAAATTTGAACAAAAAACAATAAAAATACTGCCAAAAAAGTGCTGAAATTCGCGAAATTTTCGCATTTTTGCTGTAATTTTTTCCGAAAATTTTCGAGTCCGCAAACACCGCGACGCAATAATGCACAGAAAATTAATTAGGAAAACAATGATTTTTTCGACTTAATTGACTGAAAATCAATTAAAATTAGCTGGAAAAAACTGAAAAAATTTTTTCATAAGAAAATTATCGATTTTTTTCAAACTGAAATCTCAGAAATTGTCGAAAAAATTTGAGAAAATCGGCTCGCAAAAATTTCTCGGAACACAGTTCCGCAAACACCACCACGCCACAATGCACAGAAAAATTAATTTTGAAAAAATTAAAACCATTTCTGTGCAAAATTTGCATCGGAGTTGACTGATAATCATTGACAATTGGCAGAAAATTTGTTACAAAAAAAAATAAAAATATGTCCGAAAATATTTTATGTCTGTTGGGCGTGGCTTTGAGGGGGTAATTGAAAAAAAAAGGAAAACTCTGGAAAACGATTTAAGCGAAAAATGTGAAAAATTCGCAGGTTTTCGCAAATTTCAGTAGTTGTCGACTGAAAAAAAAAACTTTCCACTGGAACATCCGAAAACGGCGGCAAATTCAAAAAAATGTTTAAACGTGAAATCCGACCTAAAAATATTTTTTCAAAAAGACGAAAAATATACCGAAAATGGCGACTGCCACGAGTGTGCATAGGCAAAATCAATTCAAGCAAAATTTGGGCGAGAAAAATCCTGTTCAATTTCCTCAAAAAATGTTCGACAGCAATCCATTCATATTCAAAGCAGTCTGTTTGTTGATTCTTCTGCGTTCATTTGATGCTCAAGAGAAAAAGTGTCTGGGTCGAGAGCCACAAGAACTCGAGGACGGGTGCACAATCATCGAAACGAAACCATTGGTTTTTAAAGGCACACAAAGTGGTTCGTGTAGTTTTTGTAGTTTGAAAGGCGGCGGTACGGTGGAAATTTTTTCTGGTGTTTGCAGACTTTTGGAACTACAGTAATCCGAAAAATTCAAAAAACACAAAATTTGAGCTAGAAATTTATTGTTTCCAAATTCTGAGACTATTTGTTACAAAAAACACAAATCTGATGAGAAAAATCAGATAATTTGCGGTTTTTGTCAATTTTCAAGCCAATTTTAGGTTACTGTAGCTTGGAAAAGTACGCAAATACTGAATTTTTGGAAAATCGAGATTTCGCGATTTTAAACTAATTTCACTATGGCAAAAATGAATGTCGCGACGAAAACTATCCAAAATCAAGTTTTCCGGTGTTTGCGTACTGTTGGAACTACAGTAACCTTTTCAGAACTTTGAGTAAATGAAATAATATTATGAATCCACTACAGTAACCCGATATCGATGTTTCCAGAAGCCGTCATTCGCACAAAAGTAGAAAAGGTTCACGAAATTCATGCTGGCCTAGAAATCATCGAAACTGATTATGAGAATTTTGATTTCCTGAACAAGACACTCAGAGTTCTCAGAAATCCCGAAGGAGCAGCAATCACAATTCGGAAGAATACAAAATTGAAGAGACTCGGATTCTGGGCGTTGTCGACTCTTGAAGCGAAGAAAGATGGCGTGCGTTTGATTCGATTACTGTAAAAGATATCAAAGTTTTGTCAACTGATACATTGTTCAACATGATATCACCAATTTTTTATCAGTTGACACATTTTTGATATCTTTCACAGGAACCGAGACACTGTAAACACTCTAATAGAACGCCACCCGAATCGTTAACTTTAAGCTTATGTATCTCATTTTCTGTGAGAGATATCAAAAAGTTGTCAACTAATAAAATGTTGCTGATATCATGATAAACATTTTATTAGTTGACAACGTTTTGTTGTCTTTCATAAGGAATGAGATAAATGAGCTCAAAGTGGACGGTCCGGGTGACGTTCTATTAGAGTGTTTACGGTAATTGAGTTTAAAGTACGGTCATGTTTTCGAAATTCCAGCCAATCATGATCATTGACAAGGACCCATTTGCGCAAATTGCTGACAAAGAGGGCGATGCGTGAGCTATCAATCAATAAAATTATCCAAAAACCTGAATTTCCAGATTACGAGACCTCAAACATCTGGAATTCGTATCACGCATTGGAGTCGATCCAGAAAACCAATGTCCACAGAAATTCGCTGAAGTCATCAAATACAAAGAAGAGGTTCCGTTTCATAATTATTGGGCTCTTTTTTTAATTATTGGTGTGGTCCTCCTCATTTTTGCAATCGGAATGTTAGTCTGGTATAAGCGCACGAAGAAGGTGGTGAAAGCAAAGAAGGCAGAGAGCCCCCAGTCGAAGGATTTGGAGAAAAAAACAGATGGAGCAGATGGTGGAATAGGTGATGGTGTCCCAGAAAAGGCGGGTAGTATGCAAGGAAAAGTGGCTGCTGAGGATCCGAAGAATAAGTGATAATGTTCTTTCTTTTTGCTTTTATGAATAAATACATTTAAATTTTGTTTTTTTTTTCCTTTTTTTAGGTATTTATTTCGTTTTCACACAAAAAAAACGATTTAACGTGATGAAAATTGACGAAACTTGAAGAATAAAAAGCGAAAAATCGCCCCGCACTCTGCGTCTCCGCGCGCCGCCTTGTCTCTCGCCGCCGGCTACACACAAAGTATAGTGGGCGGCGGAACCCGGGAAGTGTCGGCCGCACGTTTTCATCACATCCGCGCCGCTTGCTGACTTCTTCAGTCTTCAGTATGGGTCAAATATTGATCTGCAACTGAATATGATGAGTTCGGGCGATGATCTTTCGTGATTACATCGCACGGCGAAGTGGGAACGCAATACCTGCTTGCCAGCCCGATTCTGAACAAAGTTGCTGAAAACTAATTGATATTTTTGGAAAAGTGAAGACTTCTGCAATATGGAGTTGGATCGAAATAAAAAAAAATTGGTTATTTTCAGGTACTTTTCAGACTATATTTCAGGCCAACAGCAAAAAAGAAGTTATGTGGTCGTCTACTGAAAATGCTTGTTCCCAAAATTTCACATGTTCCTAAACCTAATTTTCACCCATGCTTCTCCCAGCTGTCCGTCGGTCCATCTTCTTTTCCTCATCCGAGTTTAGAATTTGCCGAAAAGAACTTCAAAAGCAACGACTACTGTACCCAAGTACCCTTGAATGTCCGCTCATTAGGATAATTGTGTTTTCTTCGGTTTTCAAAAAAGTTAAGCCGCAGCATTTTTGAAATTTATGTGTTTTTTCCTGTTTTTCCAATATAAACTACATTTTTTCATAGAAAATAGGAAACGAAATCCGGATGATCTATGTCATAAGGACTACATTTTTTCAGAATTTTGGTATAAAACTACTTTTTTCTAGAATTTCTGACTGAAAATGATCCGAAATTTTTGAAAAATCACCTAATTTTTTTCAAATAATTCTTTTTTAGTTTTTGAACATTCATAGATTTGGAAATTCAGAAATTGAGAAACTCAGAAAATTGGTTTTTCACAAAACTATCCTGAAATTATGATTGTTAATAATTCATTTTTCGGCTTTTTGAGAAGTTTTTTTGTACTACTGTAGCTACAGTAACCAAGAAACATTTGGACACAAAAACTACATGTACCTAACTTCTACCTTATCCCAAAACTAATCCCTATCTTATTCTTTGTACTTAAATTATGTGTCATTTCCTCTTCTTTTCTTTTTTCTCGGAATAATAGGAACATATTCTTTTACATTCATTCTCGTTTGATCACATATAAACCCTAGATTGAACATTTAAAGCTTTTTTTTAAAGTTCACCCGAAGGATTTAAGAGGATATTAGGTTTTAAAATGATGATTTTTTCCAGTTTTTAAACTTGATAGCCTAACTTTCTCAAAATGAGTTTTCTAGGCCATGATTTATATCTTTCGGATATCAGTCATCGTAGAAAAAGTTGAGAACTACAAAATCAAAAACCTAGATTTTTTTAGATTTTCGAATATATTTTTAGACAGCTAAACTTGACAATTTTTCCCTGAAACTTCATTTTTTGTGACTTGATTTGGAGTACTGTACATTTGTTCAGTTTGGTTGTTGAATACATAATAATTGGCTTTTTCTCAAATCAATGAAACATTTTTTCGGAAACATAAACTTTTTTTGTGGCGAAAATTCGAAATCACTGATAAAAGTATCTTTTAAAATACAGAATTTACTTATACTAAAAGTTGGAAGAACGATTATAAAAATTTTATATTTCTTATATTTCAAATTTTTGAAAAACAGTAATTTTTCTTATTTTAAAGTTGCCAGTCAAACAATTTTTTGGGGTTTTCTAGGCCATTTACCATGGTGACCTGATTTTGAATTTTCTAGACCAACATAGTTCATGTCCTAGAAATGTTCTGATATTTTTACATGGTGGTCTAACGTTTGCTAGTTGAGTTTTCTAGGCCACCATAGTGAATAGCCTAGAAAACGCACCAGGTAAAATCAGGCAATTTCTAGGTCAATTACAAGGGTGGCCTAGAAAACTCCACTGGCGAAAGTTAGGCCACCATGTGAAAATAGCCTCGCCTAGAGATAGCCTGACATGCATTTGGTGTGTTTTCAGGCTGTTTGAGCATGATGGTCTAACTTTCGCAACATTATTTTTCTAGGCCACCATGGTAAATAGCCTAGAAATCACACCAAGAAAACATCAGCTCATTTCTAGGAAACTTTAAAATTGTAGCCTAACTTTTGCAAGTTGAGTTTTCTAGGACATCACGGTAAACGGCCTAGAAATTACATCAGGTGAATATCAGACGATTTCTAGGCTATTTATAATGATGGCCTAGGAAAATCAACCTGCAAAAGTTAGACCACCCCTGCATCAAACTATCATTCATTATTTTGGGCTGGAATTTTAATAATGCAAGGTGCAGCGATATCATAAGGCTTCCCATGCTGCTAGACAATAAACAAAAGTTCTCAGAAAGGAAAAAAAAATTCATTTTTCAGCAATAAATAATTGTCTGGAAGATTCTAGTTCCTCAGTACTCTGTCTACTAGAAGAGGTATAAAAATGGAGAGAATTTAAATTTTTAATGAGCTTTTCCTGATTGAACTGCCAAAGAAGCACTTTCGATTTTAAATACTCTTTTGAAACATTTAAAACTTTGGGTATAAATATTTATTACAAAAAAAATCAAATTCTCACTGACGAGTTCACATTCCCAGTTCTCCCAAAAATCTTCTGAATTCATCTTCCCAGATCCTTCCAGAAGCTTCGTTTGACACGAAGGGAGTATTGCTCATCGGAAATTGGATAAAACATAATACTTTTGGATTACTGTAGATATTGTGATACTATACTTAGAAGCAGCCCATCGAATTTGGATTACGGTAGAATTTAGATTACTGTAGAATTTGGATTACTGTATAATAACACATAGAATTGAGATTAAATATACAGTAATCCAAATTATTTTGCTTCTAACTACAGTACCCTCAAATCTACAGTAACCTAAGACATCTTACCTGGGCGGGTACTGTAGCTACCATAACAATAGCTAGTCGGAAATAGACAAGGACTAGTTGATAATTCATTTTCTTTGAATTTTCCAGATTTTATTATTTTTTTTTGCTGTTTCCACTTTATCTTTTGTACTCTTTCTGTTTTTTAGTTAACAGTTTGCTTTCGGGTCAACATCCCTAGCTTTGAGCCTATATATCTCATTTCCTGTAGATATCAAAAAGTTGTCAACTGATAAAATATTACTAATGTTATGATGAACATTTTATCAGTTGATAGATTTTTGATATCTTTCACAGGAAATAAGATATATGGGCTCAAAATTGAAGCAATTTGAAAAATTTAAATATTACTGTTTTTCGAAAATTTGAAGTATAGGAAACATGCAATTTTAATAATTGAGCGTTGAAGTTATTGGCTAAAATTTCAAAAATTCCAAATATAGAAAATCCTGAATAAAACCAAAATTTTGATGTTTCAAAAATTGTCTAAAGTTGAAAAATGACTATTTTGAAAGTTTTGATTTAGAATGTTTGAACAAAAATTTTGCAAAAAATTTGAAAAAGTCATTAAAGGAAAATTCTCGAATTTCAAAGTTTTAAAAAAAATTATGTTTCATAAAAAAAGTTTCACTGATGACAATTGATTCAAATACTCAAAAAATTGGAAAAAAGTTGAAATCTCAAAAAAATATAGTTTTTAAGTTTATAAAATGTATCTCAAAAAATTGATTTGACAAATGGGCAGATCCGGATCATCGATCCCAACTTTGAGCCCCCTTTTTTGTAAAAGATATCAAAAAGTTGTCAACTGATAAAATGTTTTTGATATTATGATAAAATATTTATTAGTTGATCTAATTTTTTTGAAACAGTTTCTCAATGGGTCTAGCGAAAGGATTTTTTTGCATTTTTTTTTCACTTGTAAACTATATTTTTGGATTTTCTAGGTCATGGCCTAATTTTTCTGATTTTCTAGGCCATGACCTAATTTTTGGGTTTTCTAGAGTATGACCTTATTTTCTAGGATTTTTCTAGGATTTTCTAGGAAAGTACTGTTTCAAAAATTTTCGAACTTGTTGTCATTTTTTACAATAACAACAATAACCAAGATAAAGTGATTTCGTCATATTCAACTTTTGGTTCATTAAACAGTTTTATAGTTTATTTCTAAGCCGAGATACAGTCATTTGCAGTTTTCGAAGCTAGCAGCCGACGAGACACTCTGCGTCTCTCCCAAACTTCAAAATGACATATCTCGGCTGCTCACTCGGAGTAGTTAATGCTTTCAAATGGAGTTTTTATAAATGTTTCAGCTAAAACTTGATTTATAGGCATCATAATCCTTCGCATCATTGAATTATTAGAATACATTTTTTGAAACAGTTTGAAAATTGCTGTTTCAAAAATTTTCTTAAATCATTCTCATTTTCATCTGATGATAATTGTCTGCTTATCATAATTCCTTGAAAAACGTTTAAGGAAAAATCGTGATCTACAGTAACCCATAAAAAAATCATATTTTGAGCTAGAATTGGATTCATGAGCATTTTTTTAAAACATAACTTCTTTTAATTTTTTTATTATCATAACTTTTGGAATCATCGAAAAAAGACACAATTTTTGAAACAGTAAAAAATTACTGTTTCAAAATTTTTCAGAACTATTTTCATTTTTTCAGGTGGTAATACGTAGCAGATCACTCAAAAAAAAAAAACGTTCCACAAAAAATGTCTGATACACACACAATTTTTTTGCTAATTTTCATTCTGGTGAGATATGCCCTAAATGATAAATTTAACACTTAAACGAGAGTTCTTCTATTTCAAAGCCGCTCATCTCATTTGGATGAATTTATACAAAAAAGTTGTCACTTACAAAAATGAAGCTCTATTTTTGTTTAGTATACGCTGAAGTTTTCAGACAAATCGAAAAATTTTGGACTGCTTTTTCA